CCAACCGGGAGGAGGCCCCGGAGAAGACCCAGAACATGGTGCAGGGACTATGTCTCTCAGCTGGCCTGGGAACGCCTCGGCATGCCCCCGGAGGAGCTGGAGGAAGTGTCTGGAGAGAGGGAGGTCTGGGCATCTTTGCTTAGACTGCTACCCCCACGACCCGGTCCCGGATAAGCGGAAGAAAATGGATGGATGGATGGATAACTGTCCTCTTTACGATTTTTACAGTTTACACTGCTCATTTATATGCAGAATTAAACTATTTTATCTATTATCAAGGCCAGAAGAGAGAAGAAAAGAAGTGAAACTGTGCCAGTGAAGTGAAAAGCCAAAACAAAGCACTTTTTTCACTGCAGGGTTTATGATGAATGCCTGTGACAGGCCCTCTTAAACCAAACAGATCAACATAAGTCAACAGTAGATTCATTTCACATCCCTGCAGGCCTGCTTTGTAAATGCCATGCAATAATGTAAGGCACGCCTGACCTTCCAAACCACCCAATCTGATGTAGGCCTGGGCCAAATTCATTTTTTGTAGTTATTTTTATGCCATTTGTGAATTTGATTCTGGACAAAAGTCACGGCTCAGGTCAGGGGTTCCTGCCAGCTTGAATGGCACCAGTTCAAAGGATCATGAAGAAAATAATTTTATAAAGGTGAAATTAATCTCAGCATCTTTTCCTTCACACACACACACACACACACACAGCTACTCATACTAATTGGAACCAGACTGAAGCCTTCTGTGTGCAGACTCATCCCAGATATGGTTGTTCTCACCAGCAACGTGATCTCATCCTCAGCTGGACCACCGCAGAGACGGGACTGTGCATGCAAGGTTTAAAAACCGTGAGGTCCTGGCTCATTCAGGTTCATCCTGATTTGTATGCAAAGGAAGACAAAAATATTCCCTAAAATGCAGGTACCCTCCGAGAGTTTCTTCTCCTCCTGCCTCAGGATGACGTGTGAAAACAGAATCTTGAGCAAATGAGTTCAGGCCTCAGCAGATTGTGATGTAATCTGCTCCCTAAAGGTGCAGCTGTGATAGAAATTTAAATAAATCCACAGATCAATACTTATTTAACACTGCAATATAGTTAGTCTGTTATTACAGTAAATGTTTGTCAGTCAAGTAAAACAGAAGTAAAAAGAAACCAAAGTATTTTATTTTTAAGTCACCCTGTTCCAACTCTATATGGGAAAATGTTTACAGTGTCAAATAAATTACTGACTGCAGCTTTAAAGGGAAACAAGACTGTAGTTGAAACTTTGTCTGACACATTTACAGAAATGCTGATGCGTGCTGTCTTACACAGAAATGAAATGAAATGAAATCTGCTGGTATTACACATTTAGATCAGTTTACTTGTCATGGTTACATCTACTCAGCCCAAATGAAATAAATATTTCAGCTTCATATTTCCAACAGAAAGCCTGTAATACAAACTGGAGATCTGGAGTTTGGAAGAAGGGGACTTTCCCCAGCAGGGGAAGTTGCTATTGGTTCATTCCATTCTCTAAAATTCATCACTTGCAATCCCACCAACTTGACGAAGGGTCTACATTGTCACGTTCTTAATTGCTGGAAACCAAAGATGATACCAGCCCCATGCACTGGCAGAAAACCCACTAAACAATAAAGGGTCTTTTTAGGTTGTGCTGGTTATTAAACTGGAATTGTGCTTAAGATGAACAAACCTTTCTGTGAACCTAAGCAATGAATGAGCTGATGGACACATTTCCCAAATGTCAATGTGTTATGTAGACTTGTGTGTCAAGCTAGTTGATGTGCAACACCATACCAGGTGAACCTTCATTAGCCTATTAACAATAGGAGAACAACAGCAGTGCTATTCTTAAAATGCTCATTTTAATAAGGTGCTGAAAATGTTCGACAGTCACATTTGTTCTTTTTCCTTTCCACAGGACAAGGATATTTATAAAGCAGTGCCTGGGAAGCCACAGAGCGTGAGGCGCAGAACATAAGAACATGACCTTCAACAGTATATACAGACAAATTAGTCACAGTGTAGAAGAGAGGGAGCTTTAATGCACTGCACCAGGCAATTAAGGCAACACGCCAAAAGGTACGAGAAAACCTTTTCAGTACAGACATTAAAAAAAAGCAAGCACCAGGAAACACATTACAGAGTCTCCGTAAAGCCCAGAGGAAACCACTTTAAAACACTTCCTATAACTGCCGTGCAAGACAAAGACCCAAAAAGAAGTCATGGACAAGTCGGAGAAAATGTTTTGACTACAAGTGACAGATGTTTTGCATTTGCTGTTGCGTTTCTTTCTGGTCATGTCCCTAAAGATTTGGAGCTGGTTTTTGTCACAGTTCCAGTTTCATCAGTCAAGGAATTCAAAAACTGGCAACTTCTTTTTTCCTTTTGTCAGTAGGCTGTCGACGCAGAAACACCTGCTGGTGCTTTGGAGCTTGAGCAGCTTGGCAATTACAGTGTAACGTAATTCTCATGTCTCATATATGATAAAATAATCTCCTCCTGTGTCTCAGCTGTGGTTGAAACTGTCACCAAACATCCTGTTTCCGGGAGTCTGGGTGTTAGTGTTGAGGCATTTCCAATAAATACTGGCAGGTTACAGAGGAAAACAAATTATTAAAATCTGTAAAACAAAACAAAACAAAACAAAAACAAAAAGAAAAGATGCAAAAAAACCAAACCAAAGTAAATTAAGACTTCTGAAAGCAGAATCCAATGACAGATGTGGTGCAATAAAGGTCTAATGTGGAGATCATTTATTAATTTTCTTGAGAGCGACAAACATAATAGAAGTACCTGCAGCGTCACAGGTCATTTAATGTTGAGCTAGTTAAGCCACCCAGGGAGCGACTGCCTGCTGTTTGGAGTCTGTTTACCCCAGACTCAGGACAGTCAGACCTTCTGATGAAGCGGTCTCTTTACTTCCTCATGAAAGGCTCGTCAGCTGTGAAATAGTGTCCGGTTTACTTTAGAGTCCATCAAGGAAGGTGACTCGAGCAGCCACGAGGGCAACAGTGACAGCAACTTTAAATAGAACATCTGTAAACAACAACAACAACAACAACTAAAAAAACTGTTCACAAATACCAAAGACTGGCATCTAAAACTGGTAATGATGTATTAGTCATATGGCATTGAGTCGATCACGTACAGTATAAAGACTAAACATTGATGTAGAAACGCTTTGTGGTGCTTCTCGGCAGCCATACCACAGCAGTCCATCACCACTGTTCCCAGTATATGCACACTTACTTCCTAAAATTGTACATGTAAAGGGTGTGGGCTTTCCTTTATTCGCTCATCTCCTGTTTTGTGTGCAAAAAAAAAAATATTCGGCCCTTTGTCCTCAGCAGTGTCACACAGAGACGAAGACATCCAGGTAGAGGCGGTCGTAGGATTCCCTGAAGAAGAGGAGGACGACAAGGCTGAAGAGACAGGAGCCAGTCAGACACCAGTTGAGCCACGACAGCTCTGCAGGAAGAACAGAAGGTAAAACAGAAAGAGAGACATTCTTGGGGTTAGATGTTCAGCGGTTTGCTTCAGCTCATATCCATCCAGAAGACACTTCAGCAGATCTGCCACCGCCCCCCCACTGTTAAAATTAACTTTAGAATTTTGTTTACTGCTTTGGAGGCACCCGATCTGGCACCTTTGGGATGAACTGGAACACCAAATGTGAGCTAGGCCTTTTCATTAATCTCCTTGTGGCTGAGTATAGTAGTGCACAGGTGAATATCAAGTAAAAACAAATGACCATACACACGTGGACAGTCAGCACCCTTTTCTTTATAGTGTAAACAGACAAGACAGATGATTCAGCAGGTGAAATCACTGTGGACGCCGGCACGTACTGGCTGTTGGAGATATAATGACTGGTACCAAACCTGAACAGGAATACAACAGACGACATGACCATGTCTTCTTCTATAATGAAATAGGAGTCATCTGCATATGTCCAGAAACCTAATGAGAGTTAGTATGAAACCAAATCATCTATCAGTGTCATAAAGGACTAATGGCTAATCAATTCACTCAATTCCTGCATATTAAACAGGAGCCGTCTTTCATAATGCAATGATATTGGCAGTGCTCCCCATTATCACTGACCTGAACTTGAACCTCAACACGGTGCAGAATGAGGTGTTCTATTTCCTCTGCTCTGTTTGAGCTCCATTAACCACAGGAGAGGTGGCTGTCTGCAATAATGCACAATCTGTATGGCAGATAGGAAGCTCGCAGCTGCACTGAACCACCGGCATCGTAACTCACCAGCACAAAGACAAATAACCTCATGTTCAGCTTCTGTGACGCATGCGCTCAGAGTTTCTCCATGCACGTCTGCACAGGCATGCAGTCACAGCTGACACGAGCATCATATCTGGGCACAATCCAAATCAATAAAGTCCTCCTTCCAAAGCATTAAGCATCATGGTTGTCTCCACCACACATAGATGCTTAAGGTGTTTTGTTTTGACAGAGACATTAAGCAGAATCTACGATGCTCAGTCAGGTCCAACTCTGTAGCCACGGTGGAGGAGGATATGGTGACAGCAGGCAGCTGTTTGGATCCTGATAAGCCAGACTAAATATAGAGGAATCAGGTCATAACACACAGTGGCACCCTGGGGTCCCTGAGAGCACAACGTATCTCAACTCACGCCGGCTCCACTTTGATTCTAGTCCACTGGCTTTTCATATTGTCGTCAATCAGCTGCCCTGGCCTGAACAGAGCACCCGATCAATGCACGAAGAGACCGATGCTTCGACAGCAGGGTGCAGCCTCTTTGTAGCAAATCATGAGCTTCTGCTGTAAGGCACAAACCTTTGTGTGCTCAATGCTTCACCTCTTTCCATGAGGAAAAAGGATGTCAACTATGAGGTGTGAAAATTAAAAAGGGAGGTGGGGAAGGGGCCTGAGTGGAGGGAGGTGAGAGATGGGGTGAGGATGTTTGCAGCGAGGTGTCGACACTCCTGAAATGGTCTCATTAATCAGGAGTGTGTGAGCTGGACAGGGGGAGACCTGGTGTGGAGGCAGGTTAATGGAGTTGTGTTTATCTGACCTGTCTTCTTCTTCTAACTCCGTCTTGTTTTCTCAAATGCATGCCCAACAAAGACTCATCCATTTAAAGTTGGAGACGCACAGCCTATGCGTGTCTGTGTGTGTGTGTGTGTTTGGAACTATAATCTCTAAAGAAGGTTAATGTGGAGCTGGGTAATTACACTAAATCAATCAGGTGATGTGGGAAAAATGGACAAGCAGCTCAGTCAGTCACCTCTGATCTACAGGACACACCTTCAGCAAAGTTTGGAGGTTTCACCGAATGTGGTGAGTTGACCGAAGATAAGAGCAAATGAGATAAAAGGAAGAAGAGCGAAGTCACTTTGCTCTGATTTGGAGGCTCCTCAGATCACCGCTTTGCTTTAAAGTTAATTACTAGATTTTATTGATCACTATAAAATCACCACATTAAAGAACAGGTATGTCTGTGTTGCAGGGCTTTAACTGTCCTATAAAACAACTTGTTCTTAATTCAATCCCAGACTAAAGGTGAGTGAACTACTGGCTCTGAAGCTGCTCATTTTCTACTGATTGCTGAGATATTAAAATGGATAATGGATGATAATTAAACTGCTAAGGAACAAGGGTGATGATAGGAGCATTTTCAGGCAGAAAGGCTTGAAGAGCTGCTTTTCTACAATCTCTTTTGTCCTTCCTTCTCCATCTTTAACTAGCTTTTGCAGTATAGTGGTGCTATGGCAACCGGCTTAAGGAAACTAATTTAAAGAATTAATTAACAGTTTTGTAAATTTGACAGCAGGAGAATTTTCATATGGTGCAGTCAAAAGAGAAGGATGAAATGTATAATTTTTACTTTAAATCTAATTTAAAACTTCTATGTTTATTCCATTTGAGAGGACGGTGCACGTTGCTGTACAAACCTATTGTGTCGTGTATCTCGTGTCTCATTCCTCAATGTGGGTTCAAGCTGGTGAGTGTCCTTCTCAGTAGTAGACACTTGGTAAATATATACTTCTCAGTAGTAGACACTTGGTAAATATATACAAAACAATTTACTGAGCTGAAATATTGATATATTCTCACACTTGTACTTTCTGAAGGTTTTTTATTTTTATTTTTTTTATATTTTAACCTATTCAAATTTAAGAAACTATTGTCTGATTCCAAAAACGGACATTAAAAAAGTAAAGAGGCATCAATTGCCATTTTCTTGGCTGGTTGTGATTTTTTAAATCTAACCTGCTGATTCCGATCTTCTGTCTAAAAACTTTAATTGACAGGACATTTTTCTTTAATGAAAAATTAAATAGTAATAAAAATAAAACATCGTATCAAAGTTTTACATTCAGTCTATATTTTCTTACAAATCTCCAATTAAAAATTCTATATTTGTACACAAACAAATATAAAAAGGTGTTAAAGGTAACAAAGTGAGAAACGTCTGTTACTACTGAGCACACAGTGTATGTAGTTTGTATTTGGCGTTTTACCGCGGGCTGGATACACTGTACATATACGTGTCACCGCGGGCTGGATAAAATGTACATATACGTGTGTTTAATGTACCGGGGCTCCAGACTAACACTTCATACTGGTGCCAGTGGTGACACCAAGTCTCTCAGATGGCAGCACCTCTTGGTGGCACCAACTACAGCTGTTTTAATGTAGTCACTGTAGCGCTCTATAGCCTAACGGTCAACATGCTGATAATGATGATGACGATCATTATATTTCATTTGAAGTGCAAAGCGCTGACATGTGCACATGCTTTGCCATTTGTGTATGTGATTTATTTGTAGTCTGTGGCAGTCTCTCTCGTTGACCTGCTAGTTCCAGCTCATTTTGGGCTGAACTTACTAGTAGCCTACTACTTAAAGCAGCATCGATGGTGGGTTTCAGCCACTACTAACTTCAAACTGGGGCTTCATATTAACAGCCTCCTACTGTAGCTGCCACCGTCAGCACAATGGTGCTTCCGATCTTATGGTCTTAATCAGAAGTGCAGCATCATAATTAATGTGGCTCAGTTCTCCTTTACCCACTGCAGCCCATTATTAAGAAGACTGGGGTCCCACATGAAGAACAAGATCAGCTATCACATACAAAATAGTTGCTACAGAGCAGCATGCAGGTGAGAACAATAGCCAGATTATTGATAATCACTGCCATGTGCATATGAGTGAGTTAAAGTGCTGCTGCTCATTTACTCTGGCAGTGTTGTGTCTGACTCATGGTTCAAAGCCCTCAAAAATAAAAAGGCTGTTATTGTCTCAGGAGTGACTGTGTGCTACACTAAAAGGCTGCTTGTTTGTTTTTATAAAAAGCCTCCACAGCCTTTATGGAGGGTTTAAAAGTTAGTCTGCAAAAGCATTTTTACTTCAGATGAGTGTCAAGTTTAGCAACAAGGGGGAAAA